AATTCCATGATTCTCACATAACATAATGAACAAATTGACTAACCTCTATCCATTGCTAAGGAAATAGATGAATCTTGATGCCTTTAAATTTTCTCAATGAGAGAGAAAACTAGTTTCTACCTCTTTAGCTTACCCTCATATTCTCTCTACGTTATTGATAATGAGGGAAGAGAAAATACGTCACAGTCAATAAGAAGACCCGTTTCACAGTTTTAATTAATTCGTTTCAAAACTGCTATCTCCATCAAATAACAATTATTTAACATATATGAAACTGCTTCTTATTTACTCAATTATAATTTAGCCCTTAATAATTTAATTAATTACTTATTAGTCCCTAAACTAGTCACATGCTCCTCATATAAGACATTTAAAGTTTTACATTAGAGTGATATGTAGGACCATGTAATGCGTCAATTTAGATTTGCTTAGCCTATTTCTTTCCCATCCCAAAGTTTTGAGGGATTCCTCAATAAAGACTTACAAGGATTTAGAGAACTGAAGATTGATACATGTGGATTGGGTGACAATGTGGGATCACCAATATGTATCTTAGAAAGAATATCAATTAATGACTATTATCCTTCTGATGAGTATTGGGCAAAGTACACATTATATGTAATAAATTGACTATAATTATCCTTACAAATAGAGCAGTTAGTGCCCCAACAATAGTAGTTTTCTATATAACTACTCTTTCCTCAACATAAGCAAAATCTCATGGAGCCACCACTATCCCAACATCACAAGTTTCCCATGAAGCCATTACCCACCAAATAGTAAGGGATTCCACTACCTTTAAGACAACTAAACGATGAGTTATATTAGTCACCATAAAAGAATAAATAGCAATCATTTCAATAGGATGAACAATCCCCAGAGTAAGAATCAATATGAATGTCCATAAATAAAAGAGATATTCATCATGGTTTAAAAATCAAGGAATTAAGGGGGTAAGAGGTTTGTTAATTACAGCAATGATAGTGGATAAATCATGAATTACTGTGTACATTATGACTTTATCATTGATGATGTTCAATGCTCCAAACGAAATCTCTAATATGACTTTAATATGAACGAATAGACAATTATGGAAGAAGTACCACACATCCGGAGGATGTGTATCAACCATAACTTGTGACACCAAAGTATGAGATTACTTCTTAGTTAATATTCTCACCAGGTGATTAATGGTATATGCTAATCACGTTGTGGGAGATGACGCAACTGGATTGCATAATTACACCTATATATGGTCATGTGGCAGAGCCCAAACTTGTAGGATATGATGGTGCAATAAATGAGGCCAATGATGGGTTAGAGTGTGGGGAATAATGGAGGTAGAGGAAGATGAAGGGAATTTCTTTCACACATGTTACATCCCTTTATTCATGCTTTGATAGATATAACTCTTCTTTAATAAAGAAGAAAAAGAGGGAGGAGGAGGCGGCACAGGGGGAGGGGGAGAGAAAGGCTAGTTATGTTTTTAGGGTTTTAATTACATAGAGTACCCATGATTATAATATATTGTAATATCTATGCTCATGAATGGTAATCACAAATGTTTATGTATAATGAAACTCTTATTTGTAATATGAGTATTGTTATTATTTTTATTTTTGTTATGCTTACCCTAATTTTTAAAATCGTTCAATTATAACTATATTGATATAGAACAATAACAACATAACATTTGACACACATCAAGTTTTAATAATAACCATATTATCACTACTCAACACTATGAACTAGACACAATAGTATTTGAATATCGTCTCTGGCCTTGATAAAGACTGCATTGTCATGATCTTCTCATCTCACGCATATCCAGCTTATTAAAGAAACAAGTTAATTTAGGACAACCTTTTATTGTGTACTTTAAGATGGGGTTAAGAAAAAGTTTTGGGCCTTTATATTACCACCATGTACTTTTATTGATAACCCCAAATGCTTTCTTGAAAACTTTGCATATTCACTGACCTATAAACACCATCGACATAAGCATGCTAACCAATGTTCTAACTAGAGCAAGTAATAATCATGTCATGACACAAACATTTATCAGTCTATATATCACCACAATCATAATACATTTGTCTCATATCAACTTTATATTCTTGACTGTTGGATAACTCCTAAACATAAAAAGCTTCATTTTGTCGATTAAATTGACTGATATGAAGGTTTTGAGAGGCATATTTGTGCATATATCTCACTCCCTTTATGTGCAAATAACTTAACCAATTAAAAGTAAGTTAATCTAACTAGTGTCATGATTGAAAGATTATGAGTGCTTTTAACATTGAATTAATGCACTAAAGTACATTTGTAATCAAGTGATCCCATCAATGACAATTGTCATATGCTAAAACTCACTTCTCTCATAGAATTTCATTAAGCTAATTTGCGTATACCTCTCCACATTCTCAACTTTGCTTGTAATGAATATTAGATTCATGCTTAATTATAAAATAACTTGCAAAACATAATATCATTGATACAAGCACTTTTAAAGCTAGGCAATATTCATATGTTAATTTTCAAGTACATAAATAATGTGAATTACTTATACAAATGACAAGTTTATGCAAGTAAAGAACCTTGAATCTTCATAAAAAATTGACCACTATATGCATGATACAATACATGTGAAATGCTTTTAGAAGTTTCCATTATCCATTACTTCATCTTATTATAACATTAATTGACTTGTGGTAATTAGAAATAAAATCAACGCTATCTTAGGTCAACACATGTTGGTATGAATTATCAAGAAAAAAAAATTCAAACATCCACAGTCTTATCCTTAACAATTGCGAAAATAATTGATAATATATCTTGATTGTTATCTTGTGCAATTGCCACCAATAAAGCTCCCTCATATTTGTCATATATAATTATGTCCCATCAACCTACACAAGTGATTTGCACTGTTTAAATGTTCAAATGTAGGAACTAAAACTCCAAAACATTTGGCACAATATTTGAAAATCAAGAACCAACTCATCATTCTAGTAGGTCTTTGTAACATCAACTGAACAATTGATCCTCAAATACTCATACATTGCTACACATCATTATGACAAAGCTTCAAACAAGACCTCTCACTAACTAAACACTTTTTTAATTGCTTTTAGCTTTATCGTTAACCAATCACGAGTTTTATTTTGAAAAAAAGAGTCATTTTCTACCATTGACTTGATTCATTTTGCAATTATGTCTGCATCCAACTTTTTATGATCTTGTGAAATTCTTGCCTTAATACAATTGTATAAGTCATTCTACTTTTTGATTTTCCAAAATATTTGTTCTTCTTAAAACTTGTCCGAATAAGTCATCCATAATCTATGTCATAACTAATGCATTTACAAAAATTGTATTTGGTTTTTTGATATACTATGCTTAATTGTTTATACGTATAATTTCTCTATCATTGAATTGCATTCTAACATATAATTCTCCATCTACATCATAATAACTTATTATTTACAAACACAAATATAAATGAATTAAAACATTATCAATCTTATATACCTAAGTTTGCATACTTTGAAAACTTAGATACATTCATAGTATCAAGAACTAAAGCACACATGAACGATGATTCTGCAAATGAATGTTGCCCAACCACTATGTTTGATAAATGAAGGTCCTCATCATCTGCATCATCATTTATATAATCATTTTCACTATCTTTATTATTTTTCATATTTTGTTCAAAGTTGTTGTCATCTTTTTCAGTGATATTATGTTTCTCATTCTATTTTTATATCTGAAACTGTGCTTGCATATGCATCTTCCTCATCATCGTCATTTTCTTAATAAACGTCAACTAAAACTTATATAAAAATAACATACAACTTAATAGCAAGAGTTGGGAGATGAAACTTTTGATATATCTGAAATATTTATTGAAGATCATCGTTGTTGCTTATTAGAATTGCATGAAGCTGCAAAATATTAAAATCGGATACCTATAAGTTATTCTCTCCACTTTTTTTAGAGTTTCAACTTTAATATATTAACTAAGTTAATATTTTAATCCTCCAAATAATATATTGTATGAAATATATATACATGTTGACTTCTTGCATTTAAATGTCACAACTTCATTCGTATTTGTAAGCATTTTTCCATATTTTTAATTTGCTCAAGAATGATTACTAGTTAAATTTTAAAGAGAAGAAGATAAATACTTTATTTAAAAATAAAAATTTATAAAAATAAAAACATTAAAATTATGTTAATTTATTAATTTTTAAAATATTATAAAATTAAAGGGCATTTATTAAAAATGTTTTTTTCCTCTTGAAACTTAACTCAATCATATCCTTAAACAATTGAGGCCTTACAATTCTTCCAAATATTTTGGACTGACTTTGATGATTAAGATTCTTCTAAAATAATTCTTCTCATTTGATACCTAACGAGTGACCTTGATTGTGGGGAAATTAAGCGAATCAATAACAAGAGACAAAAGAAAAACTGAATAGAAATTGACTAGTATCGTATATGACGTGTAAATATCTTCTAATGTGAGTAAAACGATGGTGTAGTAAAGGAGCGAGAATAAGAAAAGAGCTAATTGCGCATCTGCTAAATCAATTTAATGAACTGTAAGAGGACTAAGATTGTTAGAAATTCTGAAAACAAAATCAAAAGTCAAAAACTCAAAACAAAGGACGAAATGGATGCAGATAGCACGGTGATTCAGTGAACAAAAGATGCAACACGACAACGCCCTCCTCATGTCGTTTATAAAGCGTTTAAGTGGCTTGATTGCCGGAAAATGGAGAGCTCCAAGCTGTCGTTTATGATATTTAACCCAACGGGCACGCTGGGGCAAAGGCTGTGTCTAACAATGCTAGAATTTGCACAACCAATTAACATGAAGCACCCACTTCTATATATAGCTGCAATGCATGCTCACTTCTTCACAAATAACCATTCAGTTAAATACATTGCCATAGAATAGAGTCCAATTAAAAATTCTGTGAGCAATGGCTTTAACACTGGACACAAAATCTATTGTTACCCTTTTCATATTTTTGTGGACTTGCACGTTTTGTGTCATGTCTCGCACACTCTCTGAATCTTCCATTGCCAAACAGCATGAAGAGTGGATGGCCTTGCATGACCGTGTTTATGTTGACGATGTAGAGAAGCTCAAACGCCTACAGATATTCACGGACAACTGGGAGTTCATAGAGAAACACAACAATGGAGGAAACAAGAGGTACAATTTAAGCCTAAATGGTTTTGCTGACTTATCTAACAAAGAATTCCTTCAGTCTCACACAGGAGCTCTCTACGACCCGTCCAAGATTAAGGACAATTTTGGGTACCAAAATGTGAGTGTTACTAACATTGAGCCAAGCTTGGATTGGAGAACCAAAGGAGCTGTCAACCAAATCAAGTACCAAGGCCGCTGTGGTACGTTGTTGCATAAAACTATGCTATAACATAAATTAATATAACGTATAGATATTATGGGTTAACATTAATGGTACCATTATGCATTATATTAATTATTTTATATACTAATAATATATATTAATTTTATATAACTTCAAAATTGTTCATTGATATCATATATTGTTAACGTAAGTTTTCAATGTTTATATTTATACTTTAATTTTTAAGGAACTATCTATTGTTACTCTCTTTTGTTTATTATTAATCTCTTTTTAAATGCTTTTATATTTATTTTCTTCCAATTATCTTAATTAAACATTTATTCCTATTTAATCTACTATCAGTCCTCTCGCTAAACTCCAAAACCAAACAAAAATTATGTTAGATATTTGGTTCAAGTAAAAGTCTTCTTTATGTTAGACAATCCTATGCCCAAATGACAGTTATATTGGCTCTTTAAACTAGTAGAGGTTTCATTTTTTTCTTCTTCTTAAGGTAATTAACGTTGGCATTATATTATATTTTAGTAGTTATTGTACTAAAATTTATTATATATATTTTATTTGCTTTTAGAGAAAATGTTACTTTTTTTATTGTCAAGAAAAAATATTACTTTTAATAGAGTAGCAATAGACTAGAAATTAAAATGAATTTTACTAAAGGACATTTTAGAAAAACAAAGATAAAAGTAATTGAAAGGGAGTGGTAATAGATAAAGAGGACATTCCCTAATTTCAATTATATAAAATATATGCTAATCGAAGGTATATGACATTTTTTTTTATGCGTACTATATATGTAGATATGGTTCTTGAATTGTATTTCCTGTTACAGGGAGTTGCTGGGCATTTTCATCAGTGGCAGCTGTTGAGGGTATTATCCAAATAACAACAGGCAATTTGGTTTCATTGTCTGAGCAGCAATTGGTGGATTGTACCAGCAATGATGGCTGCAGTGGACAAGCTGTGGAGAGGGCCTATGCGTATATAGAAAGCCAGGGTCTTGCAAATGAAGCAGAATACCCTTATGAGGGAAGACATGGGACTTGTCATGGTGGTGGTATGGGTTCCGGAACCAAGATTAGTGGTTACCAATATGTGACTCAAGAGAAGTGAGGAGGAACTTCTGAGGGCAGTGTCTAAGCAACCTGTCTCAGTACTAGTTGATGCTAAAGGACAAGCATTTCAGTTTTACTCTGGCGGTGTTTTTACTGGTGAGTGTGGAACTGAACTGAACCATGCAGTCACAGCAATTGGGTATGGTGAGGACCCAGATGGCAAGTACTGGTTGATAAGGAATTCATGGGGCCAACGATGGGGTGAGGGTGGTTACATGAAGATGAAGAGGGAAGTTGGTAATCCTGAAGGTCTCTGGCATTACCCTGCACGCCTCTTATCCAATAGCTTAAGTATGTGTGTCAGAGAGGGTGCTACTGGCTAAGAGCTTATTGGCCTAAAAGTATTGTTAACTGCTTATTTTTCATTAACCAAAAACCAGTTATTACCATGTATTATTATCATGTTGCCTATTCTAATGTTTTGCTACAATGTAGCACCTATGAGATCATGATCTCTTAGATCAGATCTTTTGTCTCTCCATATAAATTATCAAGAAAAAACTTATAGACTATAAATTTTCTACGTACCCATCTTTTTAAGAATGTAATTGTTTGATCAGTTTCAGTTTATCCATCCTTGTAAGAAATGATGTGGGTAAAGATGAACTAAATAATTCACCGAAAAAAAAAATTGCACTGAGTCAGATAGTATACTGTCAAATTGTAAAATTGCACCAAGATCGAATACAAAATGACAACGAATGGTTGTTAGGCTACGATACCATAAACAACAACCTTTATACATGCCGAAATAATACATGTAACATGTTTTCCATTCTATCATTGTATTTTTATTTTTCATCAATTCCATCAAGTTTAATTCGTAATTTATGTTTCTACAACAATGTTTAGAATAAAAATAGATGGAAAAAACACAAAACTGGAGTGTGTGTATTTACACCCGCAAAGAATAAAAGCTACTGTTTTGTAGTAAAGCCAGAAACATCTTGAAATGGCTGGAACAAAATATATTAAGCTATGGAAATGGAATAAATGTCAGAAAGTGGGTTAGAACTGGGGACAAAGGACCTGCAATTACTTGGTACGTTTATCGTTACAAATTCACATTTATCTTTTGTTGCCAAAAGCTACTTTTTTAACCAATCTTCTACTTAGTGTCCGCCAGATGGGGATGTAGCTCAAATGGTAGAGCGCTCGCTTTGCATGCGAGAGGTACAGGGTTCGATCCCCTGCATCTCCAATCCATTTTTTTAATTATTTTTTTGGGTTAGTCACAGTCTCAGATTCAAAACAACAGCAATTGCTGTTGACCATTCTGATTAACATCAAACAATAATACAATAGCATCCCAAGTCTTAAATGATTCCATCTCCCACAAAGAAATCACCTAAATGAAACCCAAAATTAAGAACTAGATACCAAGCTAAAAAAAATATGTACATTACCTTCTAATCCTAAATTTTGCCTTAAATTATTCTACTTGAAACACATTATAGTACATGCATGCATTTCAATGATGAGCTCTGAAGCATGGGTACTCCAATTTTTGCAACGTACCGGTACCGGGTACGTACTGGGTACGGGTACGCATAGGATACGGCTGGGTACGTACCCGGTACGTACCTAAACACTTTTGCAAACAAAAAATAATGAGTACGTCGACGGGTACTCGGGTACGTTAATGGGGTACGGGAAATGAGAATTTTTTTGCAAAAACCAGAAAAGTTTGTTAGGTTTTATTTAGGCCCAAAATCAACCCGTTCTCCCAATCTTATTTCGCATAGTTTACCCTCCACTTTCAGCCTCCAAACCGTGACTTCTCTCATCCTCCATCAGCGGCACAGCAACGACGTCCAGCAGCATCCTCCATCTGCAAAACTGCTCCCGTCTTCCATTTGCAAAAAGCTAACGCCCAGCAGCATTCAGGGCAGCGTCTTTCTCTTGATGGAGATGAATGAGATTCAATTGAAGGTGTTGGGATTCTTGAAGTTGCTAGTCTTTCTCTTGATGAACCAGATCTAGAGGCAGTTATTTTTACTGATGATGGGGAAGGAAATAATGAGATTGACACTGTTAAAGTTTGATTTTCTTAATTATGTTTTAGTATTGTCATGTCATGTTGAACAATTTAAGTATTGTAATTTGTATTGTAAGATGTTTTATTATCTTTGTGGATAAATATATGCCTTTTTTATGTTATATAATATATGATATGTTAAAATTTGTGTGCTTTTATTTTATATATAATTTTTTATATTTTTTTAATTGACGTACCCGTATCTTAATTTTTTTTAAAATGCCGTATCCCGTACCCGTACCCGGTACCGGTACCGGTGCAGTACCCGTATCCATGCAACATTGATGATGGGACTCGAACCATGGTTCTTCATTTTTTGGTTTTTGCATTAAAGATGATTAACCCAAAGAAACCATTTTAAATTTGAAAAACTCCTTCCCAAGATACAGCAGCTTGGATTATACTTAAGTCTGATAAAGGGCAAAGATGAATCATGTTCAACCCATTGGTCACTCCCACTTAAAAGCAAATACAGTTGTAACACCGTATGCTGCCACCTCTTGATCACAGCAACAATGGAATCTTCAGAAGTAGCAGCAAAGGAAAATTCATTTAATTATGGATCAAATTCAACTTAAAATCTGATGTTTCATTTTAGATGTTGAGCTCATTCATTCTTTTCAATTTGATTCCCTTTATTATGCTGTGTGGCGTAGGTGTTGTAGTTAATATTTAAACTTTTTGGGAGTTTTATTTTTAGATAAATAAAGAGCAAATGCTTTATAACTTCTTGAGGAGCTATCACGTATCGTGTCACTGAAAAACACCGCTTTTCCCTGCTTTTTTGGTGTTTTCCTCTGTTATGATGCTCACTGCTCGATGAATATTAATTCTTTATATTCTTTTTAAAAAAAGTGAAAGTATATACATAATTTAAGGAGAAAATAATAATTATAATAATTTATAAATTTAATTTTGATGCACAAAATTTTAATATTATCAGTTAATTAAAATATATTTTAAATATAATTTAATATTAATTATTATAAAAATTAATAATTCTTATCGATATAACAATTTATGATATAACATGTACTTCAAATAAGTTAAGAAACAAAATAAAATATTTATTAAATTAAAGAAGAGTTATGAAATTAAGAAGTACCTCAATTATTGCGAATTGATTTTATTTATGGTGATAGCACAATAGACGAGGAAAACAAGATTGAAGCATATACTCAATGAAATATCATGGAAATTCAACGTGCCCCGTGACATGGTGCAGACCAGTGGAACGCATAAGAACAACTCAATCCTCAATAATGTTGTAACATCCTATTTTTCCCATAAAACAACTTCATCAATTTCAAACCCCACACACCACAACGAATCCATCCAAGATCCCCCAACTCATGTTCAGAAAAATTATAATTAAATTTCTCAAGCACCCTCCATGTGAACCCACCACCAGGGACAACCTTTTCTTCAGTTTCTCTCTCTTATATAAGTTCCTACACAAGTGAAGTACGTACAAGGTGGTTGTTGTTATCCCCCACCTTACCATATTCCATATACCATATGGGTTTCAAAGTCAATTCCCTGGTTGTGCTCTCTTTGTTTAGCCTAGTTGTGCACCAAGCAAGTGCATCAAAATCCCATAATGTGACTCCTTTAAGAGGGAAAAAGGAGTTAAGCAGATGTAATTTGTTCAGTGGAAGCTGGATCATTGACCCTTCTCATCCCCTCTATGACTCCTCAAGCTGCCCCTTCATAGATGCTGAGTTTGATTGCCAAAAATATGGAAGACCCGACACCCAGTATCTCAAATACTCTTGGAAGCCTGATTCTTGTGCCTTACCCAGGTATTGTTCACCTTTATCAAACCCATTTATGCTTTATATAACATTTTGTTTCCCACCAAGTTCTATATTGCCAATTGTTGCATATAGAATTGTAAAATGTAGGATACTTGAAAAAAAGTTCCTTTTCTCAAAAACACTTAATGGCAGAGCTTCCGTGATCTTTTCTTCATCTTCTTTACCAAGCAATGTGAAGTAGGAAGAACCATATTAACAATAAACATTACTTAAGCAAAAGTAACATAAGAATGGCAATATACACACCTAGTTTTAGAGCAAAGAATTGTTGATAAGGTCGTTTTCTATAAGTTCTTCAGTTTGGCTTTTTTGGCAAATAAAATATTTTAGAATAGAGACTGTTTGTTTGATGTTACTAATAATATTAAAATGTACTACAGAGGAACATGTATAGGTTCTACTACAATTAACAACATTTTGATTGGGCGATTAGTCTACTCAATATGTGTTGTGATGCAATTGTAATATTCTGTGAGGTAGGTTCGATGGAGTGAGTTTCTTGAACAAGTGGAGGGGTAAGAAGATAATGTTTGTGGGTGACTCATTGAGTTTGAACATGTGGGAATCATTGTCCTGCATGCTTCACGCGTCGGTGGCGAATGCCACTACCACCTTTGTGAGGAGAGAAGCACTGTCCACTGTGACCTTCCAGGTTTCCTTTTCTTTTTGTTCTCTTTCTCTCTTATCTTCATTATTTTTCCTGCCAAGTTAAATAATTGAATTTGATGCTTTATTATTTTCTTTATTTTCACTCAGTAAACAAGTTTTTGTATAATTTATTTTGAATTTATCTTAATAAATTAAATTTATAGTACTATCTCTAAATACCCTTTTAATAAATAGACCTGTGCCTTTTAAAAAAGTAAATAAAGTTGAAAGGTTTCATTATGCAGGACTGAGTAAGGACTAGATTCTAATTAGAAAGGAATTAGCAGTAAAGTACTAGACCCTCCATAATCGAAAAGAAAAAGCAGAGAAAACGACCACGAAATTTGAATAATGAAAATGGCATATTGGGATTAAATGGGGAAATTCAAAATGTGGGTAACAAAAATAAGTAAATAATCATTTGATAAAAATGAATTATACAATGAAGAATGAGGAAACAGTCAATTCAAATATCCAGATTAAGCCAGAAAACAGAGGTCACAATCCTTAGTTGCTTTACTGATTTGTATTAAGATATTACTGAATAAGACTTGACAGGCTGTGAGGAGCATGCCAACCTGTGATTACAAGTTGGAGACTCTCTCTTGCAATTATTTGTCTTCATTATTTTTGTTTAATCAACATCAACACCATAAAATACCTCAGTCATAACATCATACTATAAAGTCAATTATGACATGACTTATTGACATAAGGCATAGTATTTTGCAAATAAATTGATAGCGTATAGTAGGAAATAAGATAAAGAAAATCATAGCCGGGGATATAATTTATTAGCCCTTCACCCTTCTTATTGGTTTTGGGAAATCTAGATAACTGTAACCCTACTTTGAGCACATCAATTGATAGCATAGCAATATTCCTGCTCCCAGTAGTTCACGAGATTTCGTCCAAGGAGACAATTAGTACTGTTTTATAATCAATATTTTCCCATGTTCACATTTAAACATCCCTATATTTTAAAGATTCAAACATGTTTAGATCAAAGATCAATGAATTCAAACTGTACTCGTTAAATTACCTAATCATGTTCTAGTTTAGGTAATTTTTTAAAAAATAATAGAAAAAATTATTATAATATTAAAATAACTTATTTTTTAAAATTTAGAGAAGTTAAATAAAAGAATTTTTAAAAACTATATATAAAAATATAATTTATTTCTAATTTATTAAAAAGATTATTTTTATATTGATTTTTTTTTTCTCTTACAGGACTTTTCTATAATTTTACTCAAGCTAAATCTACATTTATGAATCTAAATTGAATTTCAATTATTTTTGCAGGCAATTGATGAAAAGAACTTGTATATTGGAATTGATTTTAGTTATATTAGCCATGCAATGCTTTGTTTTAATTTAAAAAAAAGGAATAGATTATATTTATATCTTTTGAATGAATTTTAAGAGAATTTTTATTATGACTCATTTTAGAGTATTAACGGAAAACAAAATTACGAAAGCAAAATAGGTGATTTTTATTTCTGTAAGTTATGTTCTTTTTTCTTGTACAAATACTTTTACATTAGCTTACTCCAAATTAAGCTTATGTATCATTATTTTAAATTATTGAAGTTTCAAATTAAACTGCTTGTTGTGGATTAGTTACTATTTTCTTTGAGAATATTTATGCATTCAAATGTTTCTCTGGTTATAAAAAATGATTCAGCCTCCTGATTGAAGTTCAACTTACTTATTTTTTTATTCAAAAGTTCAACTTACTTTTATTTATGCTATATATATATACATGTACATTCATACTTACTTTTATTTATATTATACATATATGCATTATTACTTAAAATCTTTCAACACTTTCAAATTTAGGCACTTACATAATTTAATAATTTCAACTATTGAATCATCTTATAATGTTGATAATCATGCCTTGTTGGTGAGGTTGCGCAGGACTATGCAGTAACCATACAACTATACCGCACACCATATTTGGTGGACATAGTTCGAGAAGATGTTGGGCGAGTGCTTAAGCTAGACTCTATACAAGCTGGTAATGCTTGGATAGGCATGGACATGTTGATCTTCAACTCGTGGCATTGGTGGACTCACACTGGAAATTCTCAAGGGTATTCAAATAATACTATTTAGCATTTACAATTAATAACTATTGAAGTCAATGATCATAAGTTGTTTCTTAGAATTGCCGATTTTCTGTGTATCACTATACCACCTTATTTATTCATACCCATTTCTGTTTTACCCTCAAACTTAACTGTTGTTGATCTTTGCTTATATTCAGATGGGATTACATAAGAGACGGTCCCAATCTACTAAAGGACATGGACCGTTTGGATGCATTTTATAAAGGCTTGACCACATGGGCTGGATGGGTTGATCTCAATATTGACCCTACCAAAACCAAACTCTTCTTTCAAGGCATTTCCCCTACTCATTATCAGTAAGCAACTCCTATTGCCCCAACTTTCTTTTTATTATCTTTTTTAAGTACAAGTTCATTCAATTAACTCTAATAGAAATTTTGATTTCATTTTCCTTTGGTTTTAAGATGCATTCAAGTCAACAGTTTAATCCCAGTACTTATTATACAGTAAACTCTATATGAAATAGGTTAAAGTAAACTTACTTTAATAAGTTACACCAAAAAATTTATTGTGAACTTTTTCAAATGTCTTTCAATTTTTTTTTGGAATAAAGTTTGATCAATTCCTCCTTTCTAAGCTCATACTCCAATGTTTAATTGTTTATAATGAATAGATGAAACTGGACATTTTCAAAATTCTCTTATCATCAATTTAACATAGATGAATTTAACAATCCTCCCTCTCCCCCTTGAATCACAGAGGTCAGGAATGGAATCAACCAAGGAAGAGTTGTAGTGGAGAACTTGAACCATTAGCTGGGTCAACATATCCAGCGGGTCTACCTCCAGCAGCTAACATAGTGAACAAAGTGTTGAAGAACATGAAGAACCCAGTTTATCTACTTGACATAACACTTCTCTCACAACTACGAAAAGATGCACATCCTTCTGTCTATGGTGCAGATCATGCTGGCAATGACTGTAGTCATTGGTGCCTACCAGGACTACCTGATACATGGAACGAACTCCTAAATGCAGCTCTAATAATGTGAAGCTATATTTAGAGTTCTAAATTGGTAGAGATACTAATAAGGGGTGAATTCAATTGTAGGATATGACTTTAAATTTGAAGAATAGCCAAGAGAGTTCCAAACCAAATTAGTCAGGGAGATAGATCAAATTGTTACACATGTTCAGAAAATGATCATAGTGCTTCATAGGTATAATAAGAGGATACTAATGTTTATTGAATGACACGATGCAATTGAACTTTACCAATTTGATGCACATTTTGTGCTGAATATTTCATATTTGTAACAGTTTACAAATTTCATTTTAGTAAATCTTATTTCTAGTCTTGTAATGTACAATGATTGTAGAAGAATTTGAAAATCCAAATTCGTATTTAATTTTTATTTAACAGCAATAATGCATTTATAATAAGTCAAAGAAACTTAAACTAATTAGGTAACCGAAAAATTTGATAACAAACTAAATTTTTCCTAAAATATTGAAATGACTTGTTGACTATGATACTAATCTAATAAACTATAGTAGTTTCAAAAGCATATTACATTTGCTAATAAAAAGTGGATTTGTTGTCAACAAAAATTTTGTGTTTTCTTTCTACTTCAAATTAGAACTAAATAAAATCTTCTTTTACCATAGAAAAGAAAAATAATTAACTGAGTCACTTGGATCACTGTTAGAGAAATCAGTCAACTTGAATTTTTCACTCCTCTTAAAGTTAATGTTTGAGTTACAAGTGTCTTTGAAATATTTAACCACTCTCTTTGCAACTTTGAGATGTCTTTCATTTGCATTATGGATGAAACTAGAAAACTTACTTTCAGCACTCAAGGTATTAGGATGAAATGTTGTGATATTTTCTTTGCATGAGAAAGTTGTTTGTTCCTCCTTCAATAATTTTGAGTAAAATTTTTTCGCTTCATTTTTACTTTAAAAATATCTTCACCAACTTCATCTTTAATCAAATAATGTTTATCTTCAAAAATAACTTTGAATCTCCCTTTAATCAGTTGACCAACACTTAACAAATTTTGGTCAATTTTATGAACCCAAAGAACATTATGAATTAACTTTGTGCCTGAATAGTTTACTATTGCAATTATTTCCTTTCCTTTGTCTGGGATAAAATCACCGTTATCTATTTTGACTTTAGTGATGTTAGTCAGCATCAAATCTCTAAAGAATTTTTTGCTATTAGTTATGTGGTTAGTGCAACCACTATCAATTAGCCAACCTTCATTTGATTTAAAGTATGAGAGACAAGTAGCAATAAATAAATGATATTCTTTCTCGTGAGAAGCAATCTTAGTCTCTTAATCTTAGTGTTAGTTTTGATTTTTGCATATAACTTCTTTATATCTCATTTGGTTGCATTTACTGCATTATGCATCTGACCTTTTCTAACATTTGAAAGGAGGATGATTATTTTTTCCACAATGATGACATGGAGAATAAGATTTCTTCTTGTTGTATCTTGTACTTTCATGATGTGTGATATGTAAGATTCCCTCAATAACACATTCTTATCTTGTTGCACGCCATTGTTCTTGTGCTTGTAAAGCATTTAAGAGTTCCACCAATGTGATTTTGGACAAGAATCTTTTTTACAATTTTAGAATCAGGAAAATTGGTACCTAATAATCTTACCTTGTTAGTTATGCTAAGCAGTTTGTCTGAGTATATGTTGATTGTCTCAGACTCTTTCATCATTTGAAATTCAAATTTTTTCATCAAATTTAACACTTGCATATTTCAAATTCTTTCATTCCCAAATTCTTTCTTAAAATAATCTCAAATTGCCTTTAATGTTTTTAAGGTCACGATACCGGTGAAGATAGTTGTTGAAACACTAAAAAAAAGACATAATTTTACCTTTGCCTTTTGTATTTTTTTCTTCTTGTGACTTTTTATTTGGGCTGTAGTAGAATTGTGCGACAGCGAAAGAATTTCATAATCTTCTTCAATAGCTTCTCAAAGATCTAAAACTTCTAGGTAAATCTCTATTTTAATAGCCTAAAAATCATAATTTTTTTTAACTTGTAAAAAATTTAATACCACATTATTGATTTTATGGTAAAAAAATAAAATAAAATAAAATAAAAATATACAGAAGAAGAAAGAATTCAACTTTCATTTAAAAGTAAGTAATCGAAAAATTTTATCAAAAAATTTAATAACAAATTAAATTATTTTTAAAATATTGATATTGTTAACCGTTTTAAAAAATAACATAAATACACAGTAAATACAAACATATAAAACAATCATTAAGCTTTTGATTCAATTAAAAATGTATCTTGACTTTTTATCTAAAAAAATCAATTTTTAGGTCATAAGCATTAAACCAGATTATCCCATGTAACTTAGACTTTGTTTTAATAAAAGTATGTGAAAAGTTATAACTTATAAATTTATAAGTAAATAATTGAATTAAAATTATTCCATAAAAATAGCTAAAATAAAGTAAATAACTTTAAAAGGATCATATAATATAATATTAAAATTAAATAGAGAAATTTAAGCTTTGTATTTATGTATAAATTATTTTTAAAATGATACAATATTAACGATTATAAATTTAAGCTACTAGCTCATTGAAAATAAAAAATGAGGTAGAGTGGCTTTCTCGTATAAGAACTAAGATATGTTATGCGCGATGAATTTTCCACAAATTAAAGGGATAACAAGTCTTGCTTATTTCAAGATTGCATCGCTCCTGTGCTGTGATCATTCGGATTGATACTAAAACGATTCCTTTGATATTATTATTGCATTGTCATTATTACAACCAAATAGTGAAAATCATAACCAACAAAAGTAGTAAGGGAAACAATGAAAGAAGAACACAGCTACAATTCAACACACAAATAGTTGAAAAGCAAAGTTTGCCTATAAATACTTCTTATTATAGCTTTACTGAAGCGTCAATACTCCAACAGCCAAGTGTCTCATACGAGGATTCCTGCGAATCATTTAGAACATTGACTAATATAAGTAAGCTCATTTTCTACATTTGAATAATGTGCTCTAGCTTCTCATTTGAAGCAATATTGACAACAAAAACTTTGTGGGAACAGAAAAGAAAATAATGATAGCAAAATATCATTAATAACATGTAATTAACAGGTAAAAGGAAGTGAAACTAACCAGAAGGAGCTAAGAAACCAAAAACCTAGCTAGTAGCCCACATATACAGCAGCATTCACGATGTAACAATCATCATTCTTTTCGGCCAATTCTTCAGTTGAGCACACAAGTCCACCATCAACTACTTCAAAGTTCATTATTTGTCCGCTGAAATTATTTTTTAAGTAGAATACTCAGTGACATGGTGTTTATAAAAGGGAAAAGGGACTTGGAAAACAAAAATTTGATTCAAGAATAAGAGGTGCCTCCACTCACTATGGAAACACAGACTTAATTTTATCCTTATCCAAGTTTTGTTGCAGAGGATGAGGCACTCCTAGTTTAACGTGTAGTTTCATGTGATCAGATGTAACACCAGGGATGCTACCTGCACCGAATCATCTTGTTAGATATGTTTTAACTTTGACAATATTCATTGAATTAAATAGAGAAACGAATGGAAATTAATTAATGAAGGGGATCATAACTTACACCTTACTTTTTTTTCTCTATTTTTTATTTGTTAAAATAATTACATTTTTAAGAAAGAAAGGAAACAAAAGAATTGAAATGTTCTGAATAACTGGTATATTTTATTTCCCTTCATTTTATTTTATTGAAAAAAGTATATTTTGACTTAATCTCATGGAATAAAGCTTAACCCATGAAAATCTCATCAGTTAAGTACCTTCTCGGAAAGCTGTTGTAGCAATTGCATCTCTGCATGCTCTCATTGCAGCAGCTGTTATGTCCTGACTGTTGTGTATCTCAAGAATATCATCAATTAAATAAAAAGTTTGGAAGATACCCAAAAAACAAAAAACAAAAAAAGAAGAAGAAAAGATTGTAAGAAGCTATTAAATAGGTAAGAAGCTATCTCAATAAATAAGTTGACTAAATTGCCACCCTTTAATTATGTTTTAGAAGGGTCAAATAAAAAAGAGTACCCATGAAGGTCATAGCCAACACCCATCTCAACGAACAAAAGCTTCAGATCTTGTAATGAACTTCCTTTTTGTCCACCTTCCATTGGATCACAGATGATATATTCCTCCTTGATCCTTCAATTAGTGAGGAGTGACTTTGATGGAGAGAAGCTTAACTGGTGATTAATATTGAAACACCCTCTCTGGGAATTTTGGTTTATAGGCTTCAGAATCTCATGGGCATGGCAATAGAGACCCTCGTGTGTCATCGTTGATGTGCCAAATCAAACATTGAGATAATACGTGTATGATAATTGATAAACCAAGAGTAAGGTCAAATGTTGTTCAACATGGATGTGTTTTTTGGCAACTTCCAGCTTAGAAGTGTTTCGTTCTATAAGCGCCACGTTGTTATTATAATATGCCACGTGTATGAAAATGTGACACGTCATTTCATCGCCCGCAAACAGCTTAGGTTTCAGCCGGTTTCGCTCATTTTAACCTATTTAACAAATCTTAAAATGTATTTTTTTAATTTCATACTCAGTCATTTCCTTTTTAAATATATAAAACAAAACATTGAACTCATGTATTATACTTTTGTCTTGTTCTAATATAAGCTACCAAATGTCAAGTTCAACGATTATGAACTTACAAATTTTCATTAATTAGTAACTTAAAATTTGAGGGATAAAATGTTTATTTAGAACAAAATCAAGTGTGTTAAACCCAAAACAGAAAGTGTTCAACTTTCAATGTTGATAATTATTACACGTTAAACAACTTTTTACATAATTATATCCACGCATAGATCAGCACAGAATAGTGCTTTCAAGATAGCTTTCGACAAAAATCAAGATGATCGAGCAATAATTGACAGAAATGTAAAATTTGTTATATTATTATAGGGCAGATACAATACCATCAATTATTAAAATTAGAAGACCATTAACAGGAGAACAAAGTGAACAAAGCTCTGAAGATGCTGAAAGTTAATAGCCCACATAAACAGCAGCATTCACAATGTAACAATCATCATTCTTGTCACCCATCTCTTCCACATGGACTCCACTTGAGCATATCAAACCACCATCCACAACTTCAACATTCAAAATTTTTCCACTGCAATGTTGTTTGGTGTGAGGCGAGGTCAAAGGATGAGGTAAGAAAGTTAAAAAAGATTATTATAAAGAATTTGTAAGACAGATATTAGTATATTGTAAGCAACAAACAACCTGTTTGGTTCAAGGCTTAAAGCAAAACTATATAAACTTCAATACAGAATATAAATAAGGAGAGAAAGAATGACTAAGGTTTCTGTAGAAATTTTAACAGCTAATAACCAGACATACAACAGGAAGATAAAAGATTTAAATAAATATCACACTTAGTTTTCCGAAAAATAATAGATAATATATGATTTCATATTGATAGCCACATCATCACATATAGAAAGCAATATGGAAAAAAGAAAGGAACTAGTTTCCATGGTTGTGGGTACTTACTAGGGGAATACTGACTTGACTTTCTCAATATCCAATGATTTCTGGAGAGAATGAGGAACCCCTAGCTTGATCTGCAACTTCATCTGATCAAAACTGACACCAGGAATGGACCCTAAACCAAATTCATCTTATTAGAATTCAAAAAACAAATTTGAATGTCTCAATTATCTGGAGCACATTTTAAAAAGATTAATCAACAAGGAACAACCATGCGGAAAACAACCAGCACGTAATTCCAAATAAGTGGGAAATTTGGTCATGTTGAGTATCTTACTATATGGAAATTTCCTAAATTAGAGCTTATCTTGAATAAGTGAGGTACAGATCAAATCAAACTTAGTACTTGACATTAATTTCTCACAAGGAAGATTTCTAAGCATCACAACTAGAACCCAAGGAACAAGTTACATTTGGAAATTCTGTTAAATAAATACAAGCATCAAAGGGTTAAATCAGATGGTGTAGTACAATAGCTAGACTAGATAGGTATGTTTAGCAAGTAGAGTTAGAAACCATTATTACTTTCTCCCTCTCTAATCTTTAAATACATGATAAAATCTCCAATCTAAATCTTAGAACTAAACTGCAATTCACATATGCAATACTAAGTAATTTAAAATCCAAAGTAAATTGGGACAAGCACATAAAGAAGAAAGTTTACAAATATTCCAAATTAGTTTTAATCATAGCAACGTGGAATCAAGGATAGTGAGGAATACAAGGAAAAAGAGATTTATTTCCTTGATTCCTTTCACTTTCCTGACACAGGAAGATAAATCACATGTTTAACTCATAGCCACTAGGACTGAAGGAGAAAGTAGATCACAAAGTAAGCTTACATATCATGTAAATGCTTTTGTAGGCCATTTATGTTTGAAAAATGGCATTCAACAGAAACTCCCTAGATAAAGTTTTACAACATCTCCAAATAGAAAACGAAGATGACTTGACTAGTATGGGTTGCTACACTTACAACACACATTATCATGAAATTTAAGATACTCATGTCATGATAGATCTACTTTATCAACAATAAGAAATGGTTTCACTGTCAACAACAATAGGAAACTTTATGATATATAAAAAATATATATCCCATAATCAACAATACTAATAAGACAGTGAAAAGTATGATATACCTCTCCGGAAAGCAGGGATTGAATTAGAAGAAATGGCATCTTTACAAGCCCTCATTGCTGCAGAGGTTATATCCTGCCTGTATTATGTTTTGCCATGTCAGCAAAACAAAGAACATAAAAAAGGTAAAACATAAAAGAGAAACAATTTTTGAACTGTGCAACATTTTACAAGATAAAAAATTATATATAATAAATTCTTATTGTAAATTATAGTATTTAATTGTAATTTTTAATAAAAATTTAATATGATATAACTTTTTCATTGGATATAATTTTACAGGAGTCAAAAAAATGGAAAGATAAAAGGTTAAGCGTAGAAATAGAAGACCCATGTTGATCGTAGCCGACACCCATCTCTACAAACAAGAGCTTCATTGGTGGGGATGAGGATTCACTTGCTTCAACAACTTCCATGGCTTGGGCTGAACGGGAAATTCCACAAGTTTGGAACTTTGATAATGAGTATGAGAAAGAAATGGATTTGCGGAAACGTTGGGGAAAATTGTTTCCACCAAAATCAGGGATGGGAAACCGATGTTTGGTAAACGATGGAAATCGAAGGTTTACAAGTAAATAACATTCGCTCATTTCTTTTCTCCACTACATACACTTTCTTCTTTACAACTTAGCCTCAATATGGACTCGCGATTCGGGTAAATCACCATTGACCCAAGTTTTTTTTTTTTTTTTTTATTAACTATTTACAATCAGCCAATTCTATTATTATTTTTAAATATGTATTTTTTAACACACAATAAATTTTGTTAAAAAATATAACATAATATCAAATTAAGATATTAATAATATTGAATATTATGATTTTTAATAAAAATTATTATTTTTTATAACTAATGAATAAATTTTATATATTCTTCATTCTAAAATGATTAGCGTCTATAAATTTTATTTTATTTTCAATTATTTTCCATTTTATAAAATTAAGAAAATATTAATACTTTTAATGTATGCAAACGTTTGTGACATGGATTACAAAAATGAAAGTCTAATTTTAATTGAAAATCAATTAAAAAACACCTAGAATTGTTCGTTTAAGTTTTGTCCATGTGTAAGAGTTTGCAGAGATTATAAATCTCAAATCTTCTCTACTTCTTATAAGATAAGTACTTTTTAACATATTCAGAAAAAGTATTTTAAAAAAATTATCAAATAGTTAATTGATTAAGCTATATTTTTAAAATATCTTAAAAGTGTTGGGACCTAGGGCCAACCAACCAGCGATTCCACGCAAAAATTCTTAAGAAGGCGGGGTTGTGTGGTGGTTGACTAGTTGGATAAAAGAAACGGCTAGTTTTCGAGAATCACAAGGTACTAAAGAAAGAAACCAACTCCACCGGGGGAGTAGAAAAATTAATGGAAGATTATTGCCTATCTTTAGGACATTTATTAAGAAATTTAATACAGAAAAATTTAATTAAAAATAGTAATATACTGTTAACATAATTTTGATGCAAACCTATATAACTTCAAATCAAATTTTATTTATTAAACCTTTAATAAAGTAACTAATAACAGAATCTTCGACATCTGCGACACATACATGCAAGATAACTGAAAGTGGAGTGTAAATTTCGTTGTTATAATACTATTAAAATTATTATCGACTCACACCAAGCATTTCATAAATATGGCATTCGTAATCGACCGTTTAGTAACATGTAATTTTACTGTTTGATTAGAGACGTGAATTTTCCGAGGAATTAGATTCAGCACGTGGCAAAGTGGAAAAAACAAATTTGTGTTACTCCTTGTTTCCCAATAATTAATGAATATGATTAGATAGGTGGACGTGCAGTGAATTTGCAACAGCAACATGTGCCAGAGCGGAACCAAATTTGTGTTTTCACAGTAATGAATGGATGAATCATGAATTATGAATGCTAATACAACTTGCCATTCTATTCACAAAACTACAGCAAAGAAAAGTAGGAGGGGGCGGAACTAGTTCTCTGAAGCTGAGTTTGCTCCAGCTTTAGCATGTTGCAGACCTGCAGAATAATTTCTGTTGTTGGCTGTGGCATTGAACATGGCATGACCTCGCTTTGTCTCTCAGTTCTTGAAATGCCCTCATTGTCTCCACATCAAAACCACCAGCAAACTGCAACACATAAAGCTCGTTATTCCCATTGGCCCTTTTTTTAGCTGAATAGGCGTCATTTTCGTACTATTGTTCAAATATGTTGGGAAAAAGTTTTTACCTGATGTACTCGGAATGCAAATCTAACTCCTTGGACAATGAGCTCTTCCTCTTCTGGCCCACCACCAACTGTCTCAAGCTCAGCAGATACTCTCTTCATATACTTCATGGCCAATTTTACTGATGCCAGCTTGATCTGCCATAATTTAACATTGCAGGTACAATAAATGAAGTGAGCTAACCAACATTTGAGAATTCACCCATCATTTTTCACTTTGTAGAAAGATAATTAATTAGTCATAGCAATCTACCCCATGCCGTAAATGCTATATCCATTCCTTAATACAAATTGCACATGCATTTTACTTGTATACTCATAAATAAGCAAGCATATGGCTCTTCTATTTTATTATTCATATAATTATTTAAAACATAGAATGTAGTACCCCTCCAAGTTCCGGGTGCGCAAAGAGAATTTCCATAAAAATATGAAGCAGACAAACAGATAGATTGTAGAGATCTGGAATACACGTGCTTGTGCAGATTAGCACAGAGAAATAGAACACCAAGTCCTATCAGCAAAGATAGCCGTTGTTTTGTCATTTCGCTATCAGCTACTTTGTCAATATTCTATGCAGTAGACTTTACCAAGACAATTTTTTAGGGAAGAAAACTTATGGGTATTTTGGTTGGTTCATCAAACATAACTAATGGTCGGGGACCTATATCACATCCACCACTATTCAATGACGATTATGGGCCAACGCAACTTTGTCCACTATTCAAATATATTATAACCTATAACTGAAGCTATATTATTTGGTGCCTGCAGCTACTATATAAAGCATAATATAACTCTCATGAAAATTACCTGGCTCGCAGAACCACTATCAAGCATCCAATCCACAGGTATTTGGAAGATTTTGTATCTCTTGGTAGCCGATTCTCTCATTCTTGAGATATTGTAAACTCCATGCTCTAATCTGTCATAATCATTTAAAGAAAAAAAATAAATTAAACGATAAGAGTCAGTGGCTGTGTGCACATGAACATTCAATTCACATTGAATAAGTAATATGGGTAACAACAGGGAAGTGGGGTCAATTCACAAATTCACACACTTTTCCAAGAGAGTCTGCATCTTCTTAAGCGCTGGACCACACAGATGCCGAGGATCGTCGCGAAAAGACGAAGCCTCAGATTCAAGTTTCTTCAGATCACAATACCCAAATGCAGCTTCACGCAGAGCATCGGCCTTTTGCTCTGGCCAATCAAAGTGTTTAAGCACTGCCCTTTCATCAACCTGAATCAACAATAAGAGAGATAAACCGTATAAAATCATTTTTTCTAAACAGTATTTCATGCAAATGTAAGAAGAGACAAAAGTAACGTAGAAAAAAAGTAGTACCAAATAGGAGAGCTCGTCGTCAAGCCATTTGACAAAAGGCACCACATCTTCGATGTTCGTGAATGCTGCACTTTCCACTTCTTTGATCAAATATCTTATAAAGTCTCCTTGTGTTTCTACATCTGTTTTTATCTGTAAACAAACACAATATTATATAGCAGATAATGCCAGAAATTGGGTGAGAAGAACACAATTGACGCTAACTAATGGTTGAATAAAATTAATCTCTAATCAGGTGTACTAATCACATAAAATTAACTCATTTTTTGACTTAGTTGCCCACTTGTGACACGAGTTTCGGTAATTGGAGAATCTTTTCTTCCCTGTCTGACCCGAAACTCCACAAAATGCCATAATATTGGACCATATTTACGATTTTGGACATCAAATTCGAATCAGATTACTGTCTTATCTATGAAGAAATCCAATTCAAATTAAAGCAACTAAAGCGACTACACATGTCAGCAGACACTGACATAAATCGCAAGTGGCAAAAACGTAATTACAGCGCCAAATTTCACGTGCACGTACCGCCAACAAGTGAGTCGAGCGGTTCTCGATCTCGCCGATCATGTCGCGAGCACTCGTTGTCGCCGGAACTTCCGCCGCGGCCCCGGAGCTCGACTCCCGCCGCTGTTGCGAGTCCCTACGCATCAGCGAGTGGTAAAACTCCACCACCTCCGGCACTCTCCTCACCTTCGCCGGAACAGACCTACCGGCCTTCGGCGGCGGAGGAGGCGGAGGAGGAGCCGCCTTAGAAGCAGATTTCCGCGGGGGAGGTGGAGGAGGAGGCGGTGCTGCCTTCATTGGGGGAGGAGGTGGCGGCGGTGGGGGTGGAGGAATGGCTTGCTCTGTTTCGGCGTCATTTTTCTCCGCAGAAGAACTACCAGATGGAGACGGCGGCGAAGAAGACGACGGTCTCGGCGGCGGGTTGGGAACACGAGGAGCACGTGATTTGACTGCACCGGAGAGAGCTGAGTCAGAGCAATCGGCGAGTTCCTCCGAGTTACAGCGCGAGTGACGTGGCCTTTCCATTTCAGCAACCTCTCTTTTGAAATCAACGCCTTCAAAATGCTTCTGGCTCAAGCTTCCAAGATCCGATGCCGTTTTCTTCAAGCTTTTCATGAGATTGGACCTAAACGAAACCTCCACGAACCTCTGCGAAGAAGGGTGCTCGTCATTTTCCGACGCTTCTGTTCTGTTGCTACCACTAAACGAAGCCGTTTTCTTCAGCTCTGCTATCTCATCCTCCAACGCCTTTATTTTCCTCTCGCTCTCTCTCTCCTCTTCTTCCCTTCGAAGCTTCAGTTCCTGCAACTCCTTCTTCAGCCTCTCGTTCTCTGCTTCCGTCTCCTCCGTTCTCCTTTTGCTCCTTTCAATCTCGCTTTCCCTCGCGTTGATCTCGTTCTCCAGAACTGGCACAATGGCGACCGATTCCTTGAGAAGCTTGTGCTCGAGAAGCTCTGTTTTCAAGCGAGACTCGCTCTCCCGGAGTTCCTCGACAAGACGAAGGAGCTCGGTCACGTCTGGTGGTCGGGGCTGGACCTGAGCGGAGGAGCGCGGGAAGTAGGCGCCGAATGAGCGAGAGAATGAGGACTTGTGAGACGAAGACTTGGTCGTGGAGGGCGAAGGAGGAGGCTGCTTCTTCTGCGGCGGAGGAGTATACGGCGGCGCGGGTGACTTCTGGAACCCCATTGCTACCCTTACCTTGCCGGCAACCATGGGTGATAAGAAGAAAAAAGGGTGGTTTTATTTTAATTTAGAATTAAAATGTATACCCTTGGTTGAGTGTCTAGGATTGGGGTCCTGTGGTTTTGAATGTCATGGGAGTGTGGAACGTAACAAAAGACGACGTCGTTGTCTGTGTGTTGTTAGATAGGGAAACTAGAGCAGCAAGATTATTTTGTGTTGAAGAAGGAGAAGAAGAGAAATTTAAGGCACAGCTAACGATGAACGGTCATATCTCTTCTCTCATCCTTTTCTACCCTAAATTTTATATATATAAATATAATTCTAATTTATTTCATTAATTAACTAAGGAGTTTTAAATTTAAAATATTCATGTTCTTGTCCCAGAGCTTCCCTGTCCTTACTCCAGTTGGGGTTTTTCATTTAGCTCTCGTTTGTGAATATTTTTGCATTTTTAGAATTATGATAAATAGATTTAAATGTATTTGATTGAATTAAAACCAATTTATAAATAATTTAAATAAATATAATAATGATAGTTTGTATGTTAAGTTAAAATCTTATTCTTTTGAAAAATCAAATATAAATTGCACTGAGTTTATAAATATTCACCCAAACACTCAGTGAGTTTAAAGAGAACTAAACAAGAGTGATTTGATTTTGACTTGGAAGAGAGGTACAGGAAACGGTCGTCTAACGGTTCGTTTTATGATATGTTGTTTAATATAGTTTTTGACTGACGTTGGTAACGGTTTGATATTAAATAAGTGACAGAGTGGTGAAATTATCGCGATTTATCGGGGTCATTATCGTGGTTGTCGCCGTTTGGTCGTTTGTTTGCCGTTGGCCTTGCTAGTCAAAAGGTGTCAAGCTGGATGGTTAACCTGCCGCAGGATGGGGTAGGTTGTCGTTCCAGTTACACTCGACAGTATATAACCAAATCCAAGTTCAAAATAAAAATATTTATTATATTAAAAGTATAAAATATATTTTACATTATAAAATAATTTAAAGCATTTAATATGATATATTTAATTCTTTACAGAAAAATAGAGAATTCCTTTTAATTAAAATTTTCATATTCAGAAGAAGAGGAAATTGTCTTTTTATTATTCTGATGCATCAAAGAAGAATGGGAATTGTGGAAACTAGACTGGAGTTGCAAATTCAGAACAAAATTATTTCTTTTTATTAAAAAATCTATTTTTGAACAACATGAACAAAAGATATTAAGATATTAAAATTTAATATATACAAAATAAAAAATTGAAAATAGTGAAAACTCAAAATATTTTTGTTTAATAGATAAGTCATATAAGAATATAAGTACGATCTAAATTTTGTCGTAAATTACATAAATGCAGTGTAATTTATGCATAAAGTTGAAGTCGTGATTAGAACACAAATCGTAAGCATGGTGTGACTATGTTTTATCCATTCAATTTTGTACATAAGTCAAGTCACCATTAAATGACTTATCTACGAAATTCAAATTATTTAAATAGGACATATCAAGTTTGCATTTTTTTTTTAATATCTACCATAAATCCAAAGATAATGCCTTAAGAAAAAAAAATAAAAATAAGAAGGTACAATAAAGTTTCAATTTATTTTATAATAAATCAATAGCCAATAAAAAATATCACGTTATAATTAATATACTATTTTAATAATATCTAATTAATGAAGAATTAAATATATAATTTAAAAATATAATATTGTATGATAACATAATATAATTTATAAAATAAAATTATAAAAAAATCAATTAAATAATTTAATATTTTATTTTAAAACAGTTGTATTTATTTCATGTTAATTTCTACCTTTTTAACACAATAATAAAAATCATTATAATTGAAATATTCATTATATATATATAATGAATTAGTTGAGTTTGTATTCCTTAAAATTTATTATTTTCATATTTTATTTTGTTTTTATTTTTTTATAGTGAAATATTCATAATATATATATATATATATATATATATTATCAAACAATTTACTTGTAATTTTTATTTTTATTTAGTCATTTCAAATATTATAAATTTTATATTTTACTCTTCTAAATTTCATATTTTTAATAATAATTAACAGATTAAATGATAAAAAATGATCAAAGTAGACTATTTTATGAGAAAAGGATATTCTATCTTGAAACATTTTTTGATCCAAAATTAATTTACTTAACACAATATTCGTTCAAGGGACTTGGATTTTAAAAAAAATTGGGAATTAATAGAATGTAAAGATATGTTTTTAATTTTAATATTTTTATGAAATTTTAATTTATTTTTTAAAATTTTTTTTTTCAAATTCAGTACTTTTAATTTGGAATAATTATGTGACTAATTAAGCGAAGTGTCGTATGTATTTTTAAAAAAAATTGAAGAAGCTAAAATTTAAATCTCTTAAAATATGAAGATTAAAAATATATTTAAACTAACTTAAAATAAATGGTTTATTAAAAGCTGGTTCTTAAGTGGAGCCCTTTCTGGTCACGGACAAAGAGGTGGAGAGACACGTGGGCAGCCACGAGAATCTAAGTACTATATAACCTCGTCTTGATGGTGTAACATCGTGGCCCAAGGTGTTAACATAACAAATGTTAATATTTTAGGAATATGATTTTGAATTTTCAAAATCATGTGAAATAAGTAAAATTCAGGACCATAGTAGTTTTTATTTTTATTTATTTTTAAATAAAATAGAATAGTTGGTAAGGGGCATAATTGTAATGAGCAATGCTTTGCAATTTGCATAGAGAAAAAAAGAGATTGTTATTTTCATTCATTAGCTTCTTAGGTGGAGATCTGCCAATTGCAGCATCAATTTGTAGTTGGAGAATTTCATCATATTTCTATAACAGTGCACTTGACATAGGCCGCAAGCAGTGCCTATGGTAATTTTGGTTCTTTTCAACCACCAATGTTATTAGGTGAGGCAGTTGTGTATGAATCTATCATGTGAAGCCATTGCTTTGGAATTACACTGGAATGTTACATCCTTTTTCACTGCATGCACGTAGCTGAACAGTCACCAATAACAGAGACTCTCTGATATGCACCAACCCATGTTTTTTGTCTTCCTTGTTTTGCCAGCTTTCAGTCCCATAGGATTGGATAATGTTATTTAACTTAAGATGCTTTCATGTCTGTACGTATAACCAAAACAAGAAAAAGGATGAATCTAATCACTTGCAGAAATTTGTGGAAAGAATAACAAGAACAAATTTATAACGTGAAGAATGATCAGGTAGAGGGTAGAAAAGCTAGCATGAAAGGAATGTATCATGGAGGTGGGCTATTAATGAGTAAACGGCAAGTGGTCCTCATTAAGTCTCTATGAGCTCAATGAAGAGATTGTAGGCAGCTTCAATTGCTACACGTTTGTAGATGGCATGTCCAACGAAGCAAGATTTAATGTAAGACACATTCACCAATTTCAATAGTCTTTATAAAAACAGTTATTTTATTTATATAATATATTTTTACTTTCTTTTTATTATGTGTTAAGCAGATATGATCAGAAATAAACAAATAGTACATTTTTATTGAAAGTTATCAATACAGTAAATTTAATAATATCATATGATTATCAATAAAAAAATCATTCGTATATTCTTATATACACATTAGAGAAATTGTATACATAGTTAATAGTTAATAACATTTATCATATGCTTTTAGATATGCTTAAAAAAATCACATGTTAACCCTAATTAGTTAGTCAAATAACATAGGTAATTATATTGCAATTTTGGTAGTATTTTATTTCAAACAATACAATTAATTATATTTAGTAATAATTTGTGTAATATTATTTTTATTTTAAATTTATCATATTGTATAACAGCATGCTATGAAGCGGGTTGAATAGTAAGAACATATACCCACGATCATCCCTCATAATTTTTTTATAAGCAAAGACTCCTATGAAAGCCTAGACTTATATAACATAATTTTTCTTTTATTGTGAATCTCTTATGAGTACTTATTGAGTTTGAATTTAAACGACATCCTTAACGTAAGCAATGCTTACATGGCATGTCTCAGTTGACATGACCTATAAATATTTCGAAGAATTTTATGAGGCCGTGAATATAATCATAGTCTCCTTATCAATGAAATTCTAGTGTACCGTTGATATGAATATATTAATTAGGGCGCTCCAAAGCTCAAAATAGTTAGCAATTGGTAGTGATGGTGATTTGAGGTTAGAGTTGTAGCCATTTTAGCTAGCAAGGAGTGGGGGTAGGGGCCATGGCCTCACATGCATGTTAGGATTGGGAAGTAGAATTAATTGCATGAGGCATATATTAGTACGTGATGGTCCTATTTCAGCATTCACTTGTCAGATGCAATTGCCAACGAAAGCAAATGGTGGTGACAGTGTGGTAGTAATAGTCTTACCAGACACCTTAAGAGTTTTAATTTGCAATTTATTTTGTCTAATATCTCAACTATAAGATGGGAAATTGCATCATTGCCCAGCAAAAATGGGTCATTTTCTCAAGTACATGGACTCATCAAGAATGTGACTCCAAAGAGTAATATTCCAAAATCAGGATTTCATCATCTATGTATCATTAATTATAATTTATACAAACATTTTCTTCTTTAAATGTTTTACCACTAAAGAATTGAGATATTGCGTCTACGATCCTTTTTCACTTAATTTATAGTAGCGTCAAATTTTTTAGGGAGGCAATTTTTCAACCTTTTGCTTTTGGTTGCAATGCAGTTCTTTAAGCTACAGTGACAACATTAAATTTAAATACTTTATTAAATAAATATTTTAATCATTTATTAATTAAATTATATTTTAATATTTTGTGATAACATTAAATACAATTTTTTATTAAAATAAAACTTTAATTTTTAATTTATAAATAATACAAAAAATTCCTAAAATATTATATCGAAATGTTATCTTTTAAGTATCTCTCAAGGGGCTGTGTAACTTGTTCCAAGTCAACCAAACAACGTTTCCTTCGTATCGTGGTCACACTTGCCTTCTATCATATGCATTTGCCATTGGAATCAACTGTTTACAATTTTAAAAATAAAAATAAAAATGAATACTTGAATTGGTCCTAAACAAAATATTAGCGACATTTGAATCATTTAAAAATAATTATTCCATATAATTCTTAAAAATTATAAATATATGACCCTTTAATTTATGTGTTTAATGTATAAAAAAAATTAAATTATTTTGTGTTTATAATTTTGAGAAGCCATTTAATAACATTTTTTCAAGGATTAAATTACGTCAAATAAATTTTTTAAAAACTGAATTAAATATTTACCAATTATTTTATTACACCTCTGATCAAATAAATTAACTAATTAAATTGTGGGAAGCTTGATGAAATTAACTAATAACTTAATTAATAAATATAAAACAATATAAAAAAACATGTAAATGTAATTTTATTTTTATATTAATAATATTTATTTTTAATTTTTGGTTAATTTTGAACTCTTATTAATTTTTCATTTGAAGATTAAATAATTTATTAATAATTAAAATAAAAAGTGTAAAAAATAATTCTAAAATTAAGAGTAAAAGTAGTATAATGATTAAAATAACCCTTTAAGTTATTTCCACAAAATAATAAATAAATAAACCTATCATCTAATATTCAATAAGAGTTAAGAGAAACTAAAGGAGATATTTCATTTAAATATTTAAAAAATGGTTGAAAAGATGCTACAAATTAATAAGATAAATTTATTTATCAAGTACTTTTATTTTGATTAAATAAATCCTTAAGCTAATAGAATAATAGCTAAGGTTAAGCACATCCTAAACTTTATGTATATAAATAGATATTAAAATGGTGTTTACATTACATGATATAGTTATATTAAAGTTTAGATAAATAGAGGGCATGCAAGATCAATAGAGGGTGAGGTTAATAGTTATATGGGAGACATGGGGAATGAAGATGAGAGGTGTGGCTATGAAATGTGATGTGGAAGGTACTGAAATGGTGGCAGAAGGACAGAAACACAAGCGTTTCGTGAGGCAAAGCAAGAGCTTATGCTGTTTGTAACATAGCAATGGTAAGGGAAAACGCTACCAACTCTCTTATTTGTGTCTCCTCCATTGAAGGGAACATCTCCCGTGACTGCACGGACAACCTCTTTCACTTTCTGTCTTCCCACTAAGGTACTCAAACCATTCCAATCCACCAGTTTTTTTTGTTTCTGTACTTCTCATTTCTAGGAAACTAACTCCTTTTTTAAATGTGTCTGGATTCTAGTTTCAAGAATTTTATATATTTATATTCTATTTTTATATTAAATTTATATTTGAGTTTTTAATATATTTCTAAATACATGCTTAGTTACATTGGTCGGGCTTTCAAACCAATAATTAAGTAAGCAATGAATATTTCTACGGTTACTATGTCAACTCAATAGTAGCACCTAAAGCTATTTTTAATCAACAACTTAATTTCAATTGATGAAATAAATTTGCTTGGAAATAACAACTCACCAAATAATTAATCTTAAAAGCTAATCTAAAGGACGAATTTTTTTTGGTAAATATATAATTAAACATTTATGGACATTGAAATTTCGTTATAGTTATATACGAAGGGATATATAACTATAATATATTTACATTTTAATATATATATATATATATATATATATATATATATTCTATTTATAGGAAATAAAGACTTAATTTTAATGTATCAATTAATAATTTTTTTATATTTTTATTTATTATAAGATATGTATTAACAAGATGGTCATCTGTTACTATATAAGTGGACTGATTCATTTATTTAATATAAAAGTTATTAATTTGACTATTTATTACTATGAATTTTAATTACTCATTTCTTATAACATATATAAAAAGAATATAATAAAATGAATATTAGTGTTGGTAAAATGATGTATGGCTATTGTGTATTTACATGTGTATAATCAATTTATTAGTAGAAAATTTTGTATTTAAAAATTTTATAATGTCCAGAATTTTTTCAAGTTTAAAAGGATTTAGAACGTTTGATTCTCTTCTCTTTTTTTTTAATTATTTTTAAAAGTAAAATGTAATACAAATTTGTACTACATTTTATTTTTAAAAACAGAAAATTCTTTTTTAAAAGGAAATTAGACATAGTCTTAGTCTTGGATCATGAATCATTTAGATTCGGAACACCTTATGATTTTTTTTCCTTAAAAAATATGAATTGTAGCATCGTAGACAATCTTTTTAGTAATTAAATGTTCAAATAAAACAACTGGGCTTAGGAGTACACAAGGAATGTATCGCTATATGTTTGCTTAATCTTATTATCCATCCTATTCCGTCTATGTTATGGCCCATCATTCATTATGTTCATCTAGAAAATCATGGGTCTAAGAATGTTTATACTTGACTTAGTATTTCAAAACTTGTCACACCTTACAAACGCACACACGTATGTCTGTGCGTATTAGAGTAGCAAAGTGATTATTAGCACACAGAACAGGAAAGTAAAATAGTAAAATGAATCCCAAATAGTGCTTTTATAAAATCAACCTATAAATTAGCATGTATGGATTGAACATCGTCTTCATTATGATCCACAAACTTCCAAGCACCATTTGATTGTTGAATCATACCCTTGTTCTCGGGTACACTCCATGCCACGGGAACAAGAAATTCATCTTTCAAAGCATCGATGGACTTGTTCACAAGTGCAATGTCACGATCCACCTCCAAATTGAACTCTCTCTTTTTCCCTCGTGTTCCCGCAACTCCGTGCAAATAAACTTCCAAGTTATGCGAACTCACCCCGCTCTTCAAGTACTTAGATTTTCCAGTGTCGATCACTAATTCTTCTCCCACACTCGAAAAGCCTAGAAAGAGACTAATTGGAACTATATCTGATTCATTACGAATATGCAATGCCCTCAAATCTTTGAACCCATTAAAGATCTTCCCGAAGCTTGAGTTTCCAACACGAGGACCCGCGAACGCAAATGCTGTTACTGGACACGCTTTTTGAGGCTGGTCTTTTGGTATGTTCAACCCTTGGGCAACTATGTCCACTGCATTTATAGTCGCAAGTGCAGCACCCAAACTGTGCCCTGTCACAGTTATGCTAATCTCTTCATTCTTATATTCCTCCACAAGCCTTCTAACCTCGTCCAAGACCTACGTAATTGTCATCATACATATAACCCTTTTATAAAAATTTCAAGAACTAGAGATAATAATAATAATAAAAAGGAGTGGCACGCCCCTTCCTAGGTCTAATTAAGTTGTAAATATCGTACCTGATTTCTTGCACTGGTACCAGTGAATTGTGAACCTGGGTTATTTGATGTGTAAATGGAGTAAAAACCGTTGTGTATTTGGGCAGGAGAATCATGACCAAATATTAGTGGGGCAGGATCCAAAAAGAAATGAAAATCATTTACCCATTCCGCGGCCTCAATTGTTCCTCTCCAAGCAACCACTATGTCTCTCCTCCCTAATGCTGCGTTGCCTTCATCAGTGCAAACAGCAACATACCCTATCCAATTTGATTCCATGCTCCAAGCGTCTTTTGAAAAGGACTTCAAGATAAACGCTTCAGGAGCACTGGCTTTGGATGTTGCATATAGAAACTTAGTAACAAAATACTTGAAGGGATTCCCATTTTCCAAACCAACCTTGGAAAAGAAATCCCTTTTAGAATATAGACTGCTACCAGCATACTTAGATGCCTTTTCTGAATTAAAAGCATCATATGTAGCTTGAGCTAATTCTCCATAGTGTATTATGTACCGGCGAAGGTCAATATCTAGAGGATCTAGGAGACCCTTCCAGTTACTTCGGCCACTAAGATCTCTCCATTTTCTTGCTATGCTACCCATCTACTTTTTCTTCTTTTGTTTTTTGAAAGTATCTACTTTTCCTTCTTCAAACCTATAGTCACGTTAAGTATATATGATGATTGATGAGTAGGCTTGCTCTACTGCATGCTATATATATATATATATATATGCAGAAGCCTTGAATGGATTGGGACTTTAGCTCCTCTTAAAAAAGATGACACTGTTCGATCTACTTGTCTTATTTTTAATGAAATCAGCGTTCTTCAGCTTATCTTATTTGATTTTTTTTTTTTGGTTAAAATAAATATTCAAACTACACTACTTGCATTTACAAATGCTGGTAAATGGAAGTACGAACCTCGAATGTACATAGTCTTTTCCCAAATAATGATGGCTTTAATTTTAAAAATTGACCATATGTTCTGGTCCAGCTTACGAGTCATACAAAAGAGTGTTAGTTCAAGTTTGATTATTTAACCTTAAAAAAGAGGTAGTCAAACAACGCAACTACAATTAAGGATTCAATTCTTTTAAAATAAGAGTTCACATAAGAAATAAACGTGAAAGTTATTAATGGTTATATTAATATACCAGGCCAGTGCTTTTGAATAGGGCCAATCTATTGTATTATATCCATATTACAGTATATAACAAAATTTGCTTAAGACGCATTTAATGATATTATTAAATACAAAATATTTATTTAAGAAGGGAAGGAAATGAAAATTTTAATCTGTATAGGCTTTCAACTTGAATGAATTAATGGCAACTAATTAACATAGCTGCTTAATCTTTGAGTAAAATTATAGTGATCGGCCTTGTTGCATTAATATAAAACTTAAATAGATAATGTATGTTTTTTTTTAACATGAAAATGAAGAAAGCTAAAATGAGATTGAAAAAATCAAAGGGTGAATAACAAATTAAATCTGTGCATAAATTTGAAGACATGTTTTTAATATCCATATTTCAGTTGTAATATGAAAAGCAATTAATAAATTAAATACCTTTTATAAATATATATCATAACACCTATAATGCAATAATCATTTATTGAAATAAGTGATAGTCTTGACGACCTATTATAAGATGACCTTGTTCTGGTTAGTCCTTTTTTTTTTAATTCAAACATTAAAATATATCTTTTATCTTTGTCGAAATCCGAAAAGCATGCACAACTACAATCAAAGATTTAATTCATGCATGGAATTTATTGTGATCGCTGTTAATCAATTACTATTGATCTCTGCTTAATTGTTTAAAAATTTCTTTACAATTACCAGAATGTTCAAATTACAATGGAGAGTAAATAATATAAAAAAAACGTTAATTAACTTGTGTCATTTAGCTTAATGTTAAAAAAAAGTTTTAAAAAATCCAAAAAATAATTTTTTGATGTTGAAATGTTTTAATATTGTTTTATTTCAATTTCTTAACATCACTTTTTTATAATAACACAATCGCTTAAAATTATTCATTACTTCTCCTAATAAATTTGCCATTTCATTTCCTCATAGCAAACCACGTTGTGAATTAATTATTCATACCAACTAATATATTGTCTTCATTAGTTCTTGGCATCTAGAACATCAACCTTCCTATGATAGGTTAGAATGGTATACTAATTTGCTATTCCATTCAATTTTTATACACTTGAGTAATTTATATTTGTTGTTATTTTATAAAATAATTGAATAATTAATATTTATTTAAAAACAAATAATAATAATAATAATAATAATTTACTTTGCATATTTATGGCCCTTCATTAAACTAAGAATCTTCTTAACTTGATCGTGAGTTAAGGGCACTGGTTAAAAAAGAAATAGATAATAATTTTATTAAACGTTATGTTGAAATTTATTAAAAAAAATGAGAATTTGAGTGCATTTTTATTTTTTTTTATAACTTTTTTATTTTTCAAATTATTATTTTAATGTAATTAAAATAATAATTTGAGATTAATTTTTAAAATTAAAATCTCACATGATGCTCCATTTATTTTTCTACCTTTCCTATCCCAATGTTTCAACTTTTATTTTTTTCGAGCATTTGCAGTAAATTCTCACCTTGTTATTTACCATTTTCGTGATTTTTCAACTATCTCTTTTGACGTTTCTATGAGTTCATAACCACTTTCCTTCACCAAATTTTCATAATCATCACCCTCTGCCCTAGTTGAATCTCTAACCAGACTAACCTTACCTACCATCACTATAAACCAAAATTAACATTAGGCACGAGTAAATTTTTAGCCAAATTTGCCATTACTTAGATCTTCAACCTTATTTCCATGCTTGATCAAAAATACTTCAACATCACCCTTATAAAATAATAGTGTGACAAGTATTATGAGTTTAGTCTAATAACTTTGTTTGACTTACATTTACTTATATTTTAACACTAATATTTGAAGAAATCATTACTCTTAGATTATGTAATAAGTCATGTGATAATAGCAAAGGAAAAACTTACCGTAATTACTTATCTTAGAAAAAAACAAAAAATAAGTGACAAAGTACAAGAAAGAGAATAAGATATCACGTGAACTTATAGTCTTATGAATTAATCTAAATGATTAAGTTTAATTTAAACAAATTAATTTTTTTATACAATAATTATTAAATATTTTCATAAGATTTACTCTCATGTTTATATATTTTAACCTGAGTATAACACATATGCCAACTACTGTATGACTTGAGCATTATAGTCTTAAAGATCTATTATATGATGACTCTAATGAATTTATTTTTAATTATATAGAATGTTCAAATTATAATGGAGAGTAAATAATATAAAAAGATAAAAATAATATTAATTAATATAAGTCATCAAGCTTAATGTTATATATATATGAAATAAGATTTTTTCACACTAGTGTAAGTTTAAAAATTTTATATTTAATTTAAGTTTTTTATTTAACTTACATCTAATGAAGTAATAAATTGTAACATATTAAATGTAAGTTAAATGAAAGATTCAAGTTGAATCTAAGAGATTTTAAACTTATAATAGTGTGAAAAGATCCTTCTCCTATATATATATATATATATATATAAAATTTCTTAACATCACTTTTTTAATAATAAAACTGCTAATTAAAAAGTAACAGCTTTCCTAATAATTTTTCATTTCATTTTCCCACTGTAAACCATGTTGTTAAATTATCCATACCAAATAGCATTTTATCATTTTATCTTTGTTAAGTATTGGCATCTAGAACGTCAACCTTCCCTATAATAGGTTAGAAATAGTATAATAATTTGCGTTTTTTTTTCATTTTTTATTATTTTAGTAAATTATTTTATAAAACTATTTATAATATTAAAATAAAAAAATAGACTTAATTATATTTTTATCCTTTTAATCGGGAACTATGCGTGATTTTGATATCCAAAATTTTTTAAGCCGAATATGTCCATCTACTTGAAAATTTAACAAATTTATTGGGGTTTTCACTAGTTTTAGTTATATAAATATTTAAAATTATTTTATAAAGTTATTTTATACGCAAAATTCATCATAAAAATATTTAAATAAAAATAATATACTTAAATATATTTTTCTCATTTTAATTGGGACCGTGTGTGATTTTGATATTCAAATTTTTTAAGGCGAATAATTTCATCTCTTTTAAAATTTAGCAAATTTAATTGGTTTTCTAACCTTTTTTTTTACTTTAGATAAAAATCCTAAATTATCATTTCTTACAAATTAAATTCACTAAATTATCTTCTCCTCAAAACATAAAATTTAACCTAAAATAAAAAAAATCTCAAAATTTTCCGTCTTCAATCCTATTCTCACATCCTATAAAAATCTTTAAATTTTATTAAATTTCCAGTGATTTTATAATTTTAAATTATTTCTTTTTTAAATCCTGTTGTAAATCCCCCATAAAATTTAGATAATTTTTTTTTTTTGAGAACTTGAAGTAAAAAGATTACTAATAGACCAAACTTGCTTGATTCTAAAAATAAAAAAACATAATTAATTTAAAAAATCAAAATTATGCATATTTTAAATTAAAAGGACAAACAATTGTATTAAGCTGACTTGAATATTTCTAGTCAATCCCAATACACTTGCCAAAATTTTGTAGTTTACTCTGGAACAACCATGTCCCTTCATTAAACTAAATGCTCTTCCTTGATAACTATTTAGAAATTAAGAAATTCTTTACACACACAAACAATGTAATCTAATTTTATTATTTTTTTGTGTTCATCGTCAACATTGTTATTGAAAATAGCAATTTGTCTTTATTAATAATGGCGTCTTCGTCAAACATCTATGGTTAGTGAGAAATGGCATTTTAATATGCTATTTGAAAAACAGGTTGCCGGACAAGACATATATGAGTAAGAGAAAATAAAACAATTTTCACGTTTTTTATTTTTATTTTGTGAGTGAAGATACGACTTAAAACAAATGTCAAATATTTATTTGTATATTTAACGTTATCATTAACTTAAGATTCACAAGTTGTCATTTATTTTAAACAGCTGAACTGGTATGACAATTTTGAGCAGATGAATTGGTTTCATTAATATGATAAGATCATTACCAATACATTAAGGAATAAAAAATTGTTAACCTTAACTATTAAAGATCACGTTAAACAAATAATAATAACAAAATTTTATCAAAAAATATTTATTATCTTTTAATAATTTTAATATAATAAATATATACTTTTTAAATTCAAAATTATTATTCTAAACTTCCATTAAGCTTTAAAGATAGAAGTTTATAAAATTCTATAATTCAATTTGATTGATGAATCAATTATTCAAAATGAATTTAATAGTAGCTAATCAAATTATTTTTAAGATGGAATTGATTTTTATTATAAAACACGTAAACAATTTTGTTATATAATTACTATATTTTTTTATTTTATCGTGTACGGATGGACATAATATTCAGAATCATTTTAAATTTATTTATGTGAATTATATTTTAAATTATTCTATTTTATTTTTTTAAAATATTTGGTTTCAAATTGATTTTAAATTTTAAAAAATTTAAAATCAGTT